ATTTATATTTTTTTGACTGGAAGGTTAATACATTCATTGACGACTTCTCCGACAGCTTCCACAGTTGTTCTGACCAACAAGCCCTTTCTGCTTTGTTGCCTGGAAGCCACTCAAGAGTTGGTTAGTTTGGACTTAGGTGCTTTTGCACAACCAGTACGACGAGGTAGGTGGACCAGGACTCTTCAGAACAGTGACCCAGGGAGAGCGACGGCGTTGAAGAGTCGGAAGCCCTGGATGAGCAGTGTGTCCACTTGGAGAGAGGTGGCTAGGAGGAGGTACCGACCGTGGAGATGACAGACATTGAGGGACAGGAGAACCAAGGACATGGGACCTCTGATAAGAAGCATTGCACCGACCACCATGGACCAGAACGACGCAGCAGCACCCAGAAAGGCTTCGGCACCCCAAAGCAGCACCAACACGAGCACCACGGCTCGTTTTCAAACGTGGAAGGAATTGAGGACTTTGAGGAGTTTGTTTTGAATTTCGATGATTACGACTTGCTGGAGTCGATCCACACCCAGCTGGGGTCGCCACCGGAGCCCATACGTAAGTTGCGTACAGTTGAGTTTTTCTTCTCGCTGGGTAGCTCTTCGTATCTTCCCGTTCAGTGAGGCGCTCTAAATCATGCACATTTGGCAGTAGTGGAAGTTACGTAATGCTTCCGATGCTCCTGATGCAATCACAACAATGGGAAATTCACACGGACAAGCGATTCTATTTTTACATGAATAATCTATGGACAGGAGCTCACTTGTTTCCATTGATTATGCAGCTCACTACTAGCGTAATTAATGGTAATATACAGCTCATTCATGGCCACACACAGAGCAAAGTTGTTCCCAGTATCGACTGAATTGACATAATGCTGCTGTTTCCTACGTTTCTATTGATCCAGCGGCACCCATTTGGCTTTGGGCTCAGCCACAGCTAGAGCGGAAACACATTTCATTGACAAATCTGGTGCAGTTCTGCTCTTTTATCCCTATTTAGAAATGTGGCACATTAGTCATTTGAAAAGCTGGTTTTCAGCTCAAAGAAAAGAAATGAAAGTGGTCAGTCTGAAATGCCACACCACAATATGAGCTCTAATGAGTTCAGTTAAGGCCTGCACGTAATGGAAACAACTGCAATAGTTAGTTTTTCTGCAATAAAAACACAAGAATCAATAACTCTATATGTAAAGAATTATCTAGTCCAGACTGATTGGGTTGACCATGTAGGAGAATGCATCTGCACTGAAAATCAAAGCAAACTTTGAAATGCTGAAAAATTCCTGTATCCCATAAAAACTTGTTGATTGCAAAAACATTTGAAACATTTCTGATGGTGAAACACTGTCAAAGGCATCCGAACAATCGTTTTTTTTTTTGCTATGGATGGTATTCAGATCTGGCTTTGTACTCATCATACAGACATTTACGGTGCAGACTCAACGGCCAAAACGATCATCACGATGTCAATGCCAATCACAATGACAGTTAGAATTTTCTTGGACATTTTCACATTTAAATAAACAGGGCACCGCTTTCATTTCCATGTTGTGCTACATTCCTGCTAATAGGGTTAGAGGGGAACAAATTGCTTCGTCTTCAACTGAATTTCATGCATCTCCAAGAAGCTACATAGAAATAATTTTGTACCCAAAAAGCCTAACTGGCTGAACATCTAATAGAATCTACAATTTTCTAGTGTTCCCTAAAAGCCTCACATGCAGACTATCTTGAACACTATCAAGGCGATGCACAAAGAAGCCTCTAGTCTCCAAACTCAGTTACTTCAACCGGCAACAGTTTGACCAAAAATCAAACAATGAAATGAGGTGTTTTAATATCAGATTTTTCTAGACATTGGTGGTCCCAAGAGGGTAAATCCTAATGACCAGACATTCTTTGTTTTTTGTTTGTTTCCCCCCTAGTAACAGTAAGTTTGATATCTCTGGTTACCCTGGCTCTTCATATAGAACCACCAACATGCTTCCAGGTACTTCATGATCTCCCCATCTATGGAGTGGATTTGTAGCATATTTGGCACATACGTTCCGGATTTCAAAAGAATTGTCCTTAAGACTTTGGCAAATAAGTGAAACTCCCTGGAGCACTTCCACCAGGTCAGAATGTTTGTTTATCTAGTGTTTTAGTTGATACCAAACCTGCAGCATTGACATTGGCATCAGTCTCAGCTTTTCTTTGTGTTTAGTGCAAATATTAGAATGCTAACACATGAGGGGAAGATGGTTAATTAGATAAACAAAACCTGTTAAATAAGACCCTGTTGTTGTGTCATGAGCATGTCCACATGTTGAGCATTCAGCGTGGAGGAGTTTGAGCTTCACAGAGCTGCTATCATGGCATAGTTGTGTTTGTTCTGTTCAAGTGCTGTTCTTCTCGTCGTCACAAAGACTCTAATGACCTACTTTGGCGTTCTGTTGGTGCCAAAGCTTTGTGTCGTATTGGCGTCTTACTAAAAAGCAAACATTTTAGATGTAGATGTGCAGTGACAAAGCAAATTATCAAAAACTTGTGAGAACGTGACTTCTGTCTTGTATTTTGTGTGTAAATACTGTATTTCGCAATCATGCTTCCCACTGGGGTTGTTGATGGATCTATTTATGTTTCAGGGTAATATTACTAAAATTCATTTGGTGAAACCTTCATGGCTCACCAGATTTTTCATGGTGAAGCCAGGTACCATTGGATTTTGTACATTTTTCTCACAGTAACGTTTAGCTTACAGGACGTACCCATAGAGTTCACGCTCGGTGACGTCATCCATTGGCTTCCTGAAGAGCAGTTTGGAAGTTCAATGTGGTGAACATCAACCATCGCTATATTGGAGTTCCTGTCTTCTCGTTACTGAAGGCTAATCATAAATTGAGCCATGAGATAGAGAATGAGTGGAGCTGAAGCTAGATGTCCTATGATGGCTTTCACTAAAAGTGGCCACATCCTTGAGTAATGAAGGAAATTAGCTATCGAGACCAAACCTGTTGTTTTTGTACCAGGCTGTTTATTTCTGTTTGAAATGTTAACATGAGAGTCTATTGGGACTGTCTCTCTCTTGGAGACTAAGAAGACCAATCAATAAACGGCAGTTTTTGGCACTTCCATGTTGGTTTCATTTTCCATCTTATTGAAGGTCATGGGTTGAATCCACATATTATTGTTTTCAGCCACAATTTAGCTAAATGATCTCATCAGAAATATGTTGTATATTAGATTTTTTATGACAATCGACTTTTATTCAGGCCAGCAAAACGATGAAACACACATATCCAGCAAATATATTGTGATTTTTGGATAGCCGGGAATACATTTTTTGATATTGTCTGAATTTCTTTATTTTCAAATGTGCACATAGATCAGTATGAAATAGAATAGTTGGTAAAGAAAACCTGTCTGACTTGTTTTCCTCAGAGTGAATAAACCCTCAAACATGTTTTATCATTGACCCAATCGAACAATCCAGGCCAGTCAAGTAGCTGCTCACATCTCCATCACACAAGTCATCAGGGGTGAATAACTTTTCCACATGGATCTAAAGCCAATAAGAATGTGTGTCAGTTCTTGATGTTGGGCTCTAACGCCTGAAGTGACTTGAATTTGCATAGTGTATGGTTTATTTATATTTACCTATGTAGGCTCAGCCAAGGAGGTGTGGGTAGCTTCAAGTTTAGACACGAGGTATCAAATCGTTCCTGTATTGCTGTAGATGCTTCAAATATTTTGCAGTTTCATGCAGGCGGTGCTTTGTCATGCCTCCTCAGCAAGGATGACGGTCCGGGACAAAGTCAGACAGCATGTAAAGAACAACAACCACATTAAGTCCTTTTCACCTGAAACTTTCTCGCCCCATCTTCGCCCTGTGGTGAGAAATCAGCTCATCCAAATCAGCTAGAACAGTTCACACAAGGCCAAAGCTTCAGAGCTGCCCCCCCCCCCCTCAGGAGACTGTCCAAAATGAAATACAGCCTAACTTCATTTTGATTTCCATTCCTCTGTGTTTCCCCGAGGAAGGCATGACGCAGCAGAATGGAACACGTACGGCGGTTTAGACACACTCACGCACACATTCAGCCTCCAGCTGCTCATGTAGAAATTGAAAAAAACAAACAAAATAAAAAAAAAACAGTGTTTGTTTAGAAAGATATATTGCGCCGTAGGCCGGTCTCACTGGTCAGCAGCAGAACCACGCTCAAACTGTGCCCTACATCTTTACCGTTACTTACAAAAGCCCCGGCTGTAGCTTAACCATATGTTCTTTAAGCCTTTCTTATTACAGTGTGATCATTTCGAATCATATTAGAAAATAGCTGACGGAAATATACATAGAGATCCATAAATTGCAGCTAAAACAGGAAGTTAAAACTAAACGTAACTAAATTGCTACATTTGACCGTTTATGTATAAAAACCCTCCAATTATTATATTAATTTTGCCAAACTATACAGTAATCATAGCTATAATTTATGCACCACACATTTCCACACAGGCTGTTTGACTTTGCATGTCCCGGTTCCTGTATTCAAATGAAGTGACCACCCAAGCCTCCGTTACATTTTATTAGTCAGTGCCGGGTCTCATGAAAAGACTCATTATCCTAAATTCAATAAAATATGATTTGCGGGTCAAGGAAACTGAAACTGAAATCACTTTTTTTTTTTGAACTGACAAATGCGTGGGGGTAGAAACCACCTCCTCTGGAACACTTTCCCATGGCACACTAACTGCAGAATCTCCCTCACCCATGTAGCTTTGGCCTCCCGCTACTGGATATTCTTCTGTCAGCTGGAAAACCCTACAGAGCTATAAATTAGATTTCTGGCTCTCCAGCTTGGAGCACATTTTCTAACTTAAACAGGATGTTCGATGTGTTCCTAGTTTTAATAAGTGCATTCGGGGGTAATGCGCACAGAGCGGGCCGAGTTCGGTTGGCTGCCGAATTCATTGCGATGTTGATCTTTTTGCTTTATTTGACTCGACGTCCTCGTTGCTCTTCAGGTCACAGATTTGAGGACAACCCCGGGGTGCGGCGCCATTTGGTGAAGAAGTCGTCCCGATGCCAGATGACCCGGACCAGCAACAGTTCTACGCCGCTATCCAGCCTGAAGAAGAAGAAGAGGGCAGCAGATAAGAAAACTCATGAGGTCTGCAGCCCAGTGGCAGCAACACTTTAAAAAAAAAAACATCCACTTATCGACCAATGGGGGAATCCTTCAGTTTGTATTTACCTGCTGCCTCAGTTAACATCTTAAAACTAATCATCTTTAACCCTTTATAGGGCAAGGAACCGTATATAGTAACTTCTGCAGGCTTTAAAAATGGCAGGGGGCAGAATCACATGATTTTATCCAGCCAATCAGTGAAGGTCAGGCTACATCACAACACAGTCGCTACGGCCTCTGACCAATCACGAGTGAGCCAGAGTCATAATTTGACAAAAGTGTCATAAGTTCCACAACTGGTCAGTCGGAAATACATGTTCCTTCGTCTTTATATGCGTATTTTACAATCATTTATCCATATATTATTATCGTTTTTTTATAGCCTTGGTAGGCGAGGAATCATGTGATATTGACTTGAATTTGCTGCCTAAACTTTTTTAAGAAGTTAAAAAAAGAAAAAATGTCCTCTTATACCTACCAATAACCCTCCAGGGTTGGAATTTTACCTTTCCAAGTATTTCCACGAGTGCCCTCTAAAGGGGTTAAAGCAGCGTCAATGATTTTGTGGCCACACGGGGGCAGTGCAGCAACACAAACCCTGACATAATGTTGTCTTATCAGCTATAGGCAGCAACCATACACTGACTTCAGCTGTCTTTTTTTTTATTTTGCTGAAACCAGCTGCTGGAAAAAAGTCTAATAAGATCATTTAAATTTACCAAAAAATAAAGTTCATTTACAGTCAGTCAAACCAAAACAATAAGCTTTAATAGACCGAAACAGATCAGTTCTGTAATTAGAATTTCATCACTACAGGCACCCTGTATCACATTCCACACAGTCCTTTGATGCACTGATAATATAAAAATATTGAGCTTTAATTAATGTTTCAAAGTGTCATCTTCTTGGAGCTTGCGCACACCGCTTCCTCTCAGTTTGACGGCAGAAATGTGACAAAAAAACAGAAACGAGAAGTCATTCTGTGTTGCTCCGAGAACAAAATGTGACATGTTGTCCCTCCAAACCACTTTATTACCCTCAGTTCTGCCCAAACCACTCAGATTTTTTCTGTCGGTTGGCAAAGTGCGCCGACTGTGTCATTGCATTAGCTGTCTTTGATTATAATCATCGTTTCCCCCCCTGTCTGTATAGCATGCTTTAGTAATAGAGAAGAAGGGAAAACAAATTGCATTGAAGATAGGAACTTGGACAATTAAGGGGGGGGTTGTGTGTTTCCAGAAACTCCATCATGCCCTATTAACAGCTTGATAGATGAGTCACGGCCTCCTAATAATACCCAGCTGTTTTAATGTGTTCCAAAAGTAATCCTGGACAGCTCCGTATGAAATGTAAATCTTTGGTGCTTGTGCTTCGTCTCCAGTTGTTTGTGGAGCTGAACGAGCTGATTGTGGAGAAGGACCATGAAATGCGCTGGAAGGAGCGGGCTCGCTGGATCAAGTTTGAGGAGGATGTGGAGGAGGAGACTGACCGCTGGGGCAAACCTCATGTGGCCTCGCTCTCCTTTCGCAGCCTGCTGGAGCTTCGCCGCACCATCACACAAGGTAAAACGCTCCTGCATGCATACGGCGGCGGAGCACATCCTCAGCTTCACTCTTGTGGTCTAACTGTTTCCATGTGCAGCCGAAATACGATCCACAGGGATAAACATGACGCACAGAAGAAGCTAGTTTACTGGTTTACAACAGCGCTGTGTGTTTAAGTTCTCACATAGAATAGAATAGAGTCGCTTTATTGTCATCATACACGGCGACATGATGAAAAATATAAGTGCATTGAAACAAACTTAATTACCAACAATAAATAATAAAATCAAATGTACGTATAAAACAAGACTATGTTAAGAATTCTAACATATGCAAAAGAGGCAAGATATATCCAGTACAGTGAGGAGGGAATGAGATCAAATAAAAGCCAATCGAATAGAATAAATATGGGAGTGTGCAGGAATGAAACAAAACCTCATTATGTACCAAATTCTTCCTCAGAGAATCCCGTCTTAGCGGCCACATCGGCTCCCCATTTTCCTCTAACTTCCGTTTCTAGGTGCCATCCTTTTGGACCTGGAGCAGAACTCCCTGCCCGGCATCGCCCATCTGGTGGTGGAGACGATGATCATCTCCGATCAGATCAGAGCAGAGGACCGAGCCAGCGTCCTTCGGGCTCTGCTTCTAAAACACAGGTTAGGAACAACGCTCGCACCTGCATTAACATTTTAAAGAAACCTTATCTGATGTACTTTTGCTCGGCGAGAACAGCTTGATCGTCTGGCTTCGGTACAAGAGAGCTCCTCTGGGGATTTCGGGGCACTTTAAGGACAAATTGCTGACATTAGTAGGAACAGGTGTACTATGAAGCTACAGGTTTTTAACATTATGGCCGCAGGCAAATATTTTACAGATATCTGATGCTGTCTTATCAGGTGAGTTCGACTTCCTCAGAGTCTTTTTGACGGAAACTTGGCTTCAGTAAGCCTCACGTGAACTGTTCTGACGTGTTCATGAAGCCAGAGCAGACAGAGAGCAGACTATTTAAGAACAAAATCTTCAAGCAAAGAAGATGCAGATATGTTTGTTTTTTTCCCCAGCACATTGAGTCGTGTGTTAAGAGTCTATTTGCTGGAATTCTGTAGAAGCCCCAATTGTTTTCTTATAGTGAGTTCTGTTGTAAATGTTTTACAGCCAAAATAAAACAGAATTTCTGATTTTATATCATGACATTAAAAAGTGTTCTGCCGTTTGATTAAGTAATCATTTGGATTAGAAAAAAAAAAATCGACAAAATATAAAAATATGTAGATTCAATTTGGTAAATCATGTGAAGAAAGATTTTTTTTGTCAATATTTTGCTGATAAACCCAAATTTTTGTTCTTTACCAATGCTTGACTTACAGTTAATTGACAAGCACTTGCTTATTTTATGTTATGTTTTGGGATGTTTGTTACCATGACAACACGTCGCCTTTTTTTTTTACTTGAGAGCAGGTTTTTGTTGTTTCTTTATCCGCGTGTTAATCGACCTGTCAGTTCAGGGTGGTGTGGATGCAGCTTTGTTTACATTTTATTCCTGTTTGGGACTATGAAGAATTTAATCCAAGCCTTCCTACTCATTAATCATTATCCTACAGTGGAGGTTGTTTGAAAAAAAACAAACATCTCAGGGAACTGAGCAGGGAATTTCCAAAAAGTGACATTTAACAAGACTTGGCTCATCAGCTGGTGTACTTCCCCGAGGTTGACCAAACTGCAAATGTCAAGACTGTGCTGTAGCTGCACTGAGTCTTAAAGCCTACACTGTTAGATAATACGTTTCCTCATTGTGCTGATCATGCTGGATGCGACGTCTAACTGTGTTAAAAGGGAAATGTTAGGCTTTCTCTTTCATCTGTCACAAAGATAATGTTAGAATGTCCAATGAGTACATTAAACATGGCTAAAGTTTCGAGATAAATGTATGTGGAAAAAAATCCTGCAGGGAAAAAAAGGTCAGGCTTCAAATGGTTCTAAATACGAAGCTTTCGATGTTTTTTTCTACTTTAGTGACGAGCAGGTCTTTAGAGATAACGTTATATGATCATCTGCTGCAGGCTCAGAGCGACCACCAAAACAAACTGTGGTGTTTTTAGCCAATGTATGTACGCGTCCTCACAAAACAGTCTGCTTGAGTAGTGCTATCTGCCTTTTATTCCCTCCAGCATGCAAGTAAGTGATGGTGCAGGGAGAATGCTGGCAACCATTTGGCAAGAACAGAATAACATGTTATGATCTATGTTGCCATTTAACATTGGTGTTTCCATTCCCACACAAAGATCAGGCACATACAGGCGACTGACAAATTAAGGAGTCCTAGTGTTGAGGCATCATGTCACATGAGAGCAGCTTCAATGTCTTCTAATAGATATTCCCTCATTTGATGTTTAGATAATGGTGGTGGAGAGCGCTGTCTATCACGGCAGGTAAAATCTCCCCTAGGTGTTCAGCTGGGTTGACATCTGGTGATTCTGAAACCATATGAGTCACGTCTTTTTCATATTCTTCAAACCCTTCAGTGACCGTTTGTGCCCTATAGATGGGAATTGTCACACTGGAAGAGACCACTCCCATCAGGATAGGTGATCACTCAGAACAAGTTTGTACTGATGTGCATTAAGATGGCAAGACCAAATTCACGCTTATGTTAAACAATAAGCAGGTAATGAACAGAATGTTTACCAAATAGAGATGTCTTGGTGTAATCTTTGTTTCTACAGTTGTTGTATCAGATTTGGGCTTGAGCATCTATGAATGGATTTGAGGAGTTGCCATTTCAAACCAAGAACCCTCAATTGTAGTACTTAGTTGGTTTACATCAGGGGTGCCCAATCCTGGTCCTCGAGAGCCCCTATCCAGCATGTTTTAGACATGTCCCTCTTCCAACACACCTGATTCACATGATCAGGATCGTTATCAGGCTTCTGCAGAGCTTGATGATGAGCTGATCATTTGAATCAGGTGTGTTGGAAGAGAGAAACATCTAAAACATGCAGGATAGGGGCTCTCGAGGACCAGGATTGGGCACCCCTGGTTTACACTCTGCAAGAGCATGAGGTGGTGCTCACGGGCAAAGGCTTCCGCAAAGCCGGCCAATCAGAAGAAAGCGTGCTTGTCTTTAACCAGTGTGTTTCAGGCAGATGATAAACTGATGGAGTGCAAAAACTCAGGATGGCATACATTTTGATCTGTGAAGTTACCTGAGTCGAGCCACAAAACGAAAACTTAGAGCTGGATAAATAATAGTGTTTTCCCTTTAAGATTGTTGCCGTGTAATCTACTTTTGTGCCAAACTTCTATGTTTTTTTCCACAAGAGTGGGTGTTTCAGTCTAATTACTATATGGAGATAAATGGTAGTGGCTAAATGTCATGGTATCTGAGTGTCTTCAATTCAAAGGTTTACTATTTCCTCCCATCAGTGTCGGTTGTTATTTTAACCCACAACTTTTTGGTGTTTTGGTATTTCTGTGAAAAGGTTCTTTACGAGCCAGCCACTGCTGGTTTCAAGGTCGATGATGTTGTAAATTGTTGGTTGGGATGTTAAACCAGAAAAAGTGTACATGAGTAGATTGGGCAGGGCGATGGTCATTGCTGGACTCCACAACATCAGTGTTTTTGGTGCCACAATCCCAATTCAAAGAGGCATTAGTAACCATGATTTGAGTTCACAAAACACCAGAGGGGATCGTTACTAGAGATCCTGTGTGCTTTTAGATATAAAGTCCGATAAACACTAGCATGCGGATGTCACTCCAACCATAGCTCTCTCCAGTGGTCTCCATTTATTGATTGGCACTTGCATTGACATGCCAGCTAAACTGACCTGACACACATGGCCAATGGAATACTGCGCCACTCCATAGATTTTTCAGTTACGTAACAGGAAAAAAAAACAAGTTAACTAAATGTGTTCTGTCACAGTGAGTTACCAGTGGAAAGACAAGCCGTGAATGTCAGAACTACAGAAAACGTTGCCATTGGGCTCACTAGCTCTCCATTTATTATTTTATGTCATTTCAGGGATGATTTAAAATGTTGTTTTCTTCATCTAATACCTTTTTAAGGTTCCTGAATGAAGCCTGCCGACTGAAATGCTCTCCTGACTTTGCCTCTTGCACCACCGTTATGTGGTGCGATGAATCCTAATGGTGATCCTGGGTGACATTCCTCTAGTGCCACCAGGAAGTCAGATCTTTCACTTTTACTGTGAAATATTTCACCGTGTGCTCTTTGGTTCAAAAACAAATGTGTTGCAGGATGATGAATCCTTCAGAAAGGTGACTTTTCCTTCATGCTGGCAGCAAACTGACATCCAGCAGATTGCTATTCATTTGATTTCTCTGAACATTGTGAGATCAAAATTTAAAATTGCCTTCAAAACTAACTTGTGCTT